AACAGGAAGGCCAGATTAGAGTTTGCCCAACGACATCTAAAAAACCCTTCACAGTTCTGGAACAACATCCTATGGACAGATGAGACCAAGATCAACTTGCACCAGAGTGATGGAAAGAGAGTATGGAGAAGGAAAGGAACTGCTCATGATCCTAAGCATACCACCTCATCAGTGAAGCATTGTGGTGGTAGTGTCATGGCGTGGCCACGTATGGCTGCCAATGGAACTGGTTCTCTTGTATTTATTGATGATGTGACTGCTGACAAAAGCAGCAGGATGAATTCTGAAGTGTTTCGGGAAATATCTGCTCATATTCAGCCAAATGCTTCAGAACTCATTGGACGCCGCTTCACAGTGCAGATGGACAATGACCCAAAGCATACTGCAAAAGCAACCAAAGAGTTTAAGGGAAAGAAGTGGAATGTTATGCAATGGCCAAGTCAATCACCTGACCTGAATCCGATTGAGCATGCATTTCACTTGTTGAAGACAAAACTGAAGGGAAAATGCCCCAAGAACAAGCAGGAACTGAAGACAGTTGCAGTAGAGGCCTGGCAGAGCATCACCAGGGATGAAACCCAGCGTCTGGTGATGTCTATGCGTTCCAGACTTCAGGCTGTAATTTGTTGCAAATCCTTTGCAGTCAAGTATTAAAAAGTGAAAGTTTGATTTATGATTAATATTCTGTCCCATTACTTTTGGTCCCTTAACAAGTGGGAGGCACATATGCAAACTGTTGTAATTCCTACACCGTTCACCTGATTTGGATGTAAATACCTCAAATTAAAGCTGACAGTCTGCAGTTAAATTACATCTTGTTAGTTTCATTTCAAATCCATTGTGCTGGTGTATAGAGCCAAAAATGTTAGAATACAGCAAGCTCCCTGGCGTCCATGCAACTACTGGTTCCATCAGGTTATGGCTGTGACCAGCACGCCCTCCCGTGCTTCAATATATCACTGTGACCGGGCTATGGGGACAACACAGCAATGTCATGCCCCATGCTAAATATCCCAGTATTAATGTCTGCCCTTCATCATATCCTGGAACGGAGTAACATACAGGTCCAGTAACCACAGGGCATATGCAAATAGGCATTCTTGATGTCCACAGAGACCAGAATGTCTGCTGGCTGAAAGGAAGTAATGAATGACCTGGCACAGTGTCATAACTATAAAGGGTCGCAGGAGTCGCATTCGGGACCTGGCCCCATGCTGCAGGGGCCCATGAGGCTCCTCTATCACACTTTTCTACATCTGGATATGAGGGGCAGCAGGATGGCATATAGAAGAAGCAATCCCTTCCGTTTTCCTTTTGGCTCCTGCAGCCGCTGAAAGTGCAGGAGAAAAAAAAAAAAAAAAAAAAATGGAGAAAAATCGGTTCTTCTATACGCCACCCCACTGCTCCTCTTATCTAGCCTGGTGCTCGCAGTTTCTGACAGCCATGAGCCAAGATGCGATGCTGACAACAGACAAGCAGTCAGCTCGGACTGCGAGCTCTGCCCTCCCTGACTCCAGCTCCTGCTTCTTGCCTCCAAAATGCTCCTGCTGTTGGGTAAGGTAGGAGAAATGCTCCCTGCCCCCAGGCCACTGTCATTGTATAATGTGTCCAGGTGGCCTACTTTTATGCTGCCCCCCTCATATTGCCCTCCCCCCCCCCCCCCGTCACACTGCTCCCACTCATATTTCCCCCCTCATGCCACACTGTCCCCCCTCCCCCTTTATTCCACCCCCCCTCCTGCCACATTCCCCCCCCCCTTCCTGTCACAGTGCCACCTCTGTCACACCACCATTGTCATACTGCCCCCCTATGTCACACTGCCCCCCTCCTGTCAAAATGTCCCCCTCTTCTGTCACAATGCCCCTCTGTTATACTCTCCAGTCACATTTACACTACGTCACAGTACCCCCCTTCCAGACACAGTGCCCCCCCTCTGTCACACCCCCCCCCCCCCCATCCCCATGAAAAGGATCCTCTGCGGGAATGTAATAAAGGGCCCCGCAACAGCAATAAAAGGTTCCTGGGATCAGTGGTAAGAGTTCCAGGCTCGAAGGGAAGGGCCCAGGCCGGAGGTTGTTGGGGCCCTACAGGGTTTTTTGCACCAGGACCCTGAAGTTTATAGTTATGCCTCTGACCTGGCAGATTCCATATGTAATTTTTGAACTTGAAGGATCCTGTTTAGAATCTTTAGATCTAGAATGCAATGTCTCCTTTTGGTTTGCAGGCAGTGAACATATTTGTGTAGAAACCCTGAAACCTCTCCTGGGACAGGGACAATAACCTCCTGAGAGAGAAGCTGCTGGAAAGCAGCATAGAGAGTTGCCAACTTTAATTGAGATGGCAAATTTGAGAGCATGCAGCAGGGTGGAGGCATACATCGCAATGTGTCTTATTGTAAACGCTTGCAATCAATTCGATTGTGTATGAGAGGCATTGACTGACCTTGCAGATTCCATATGGAACTTTAGAACTGGAAGGTACTTTAGGTTCAGGATAAGACAACTACCCCAATGGGTTTTGGTACAGTGAGAAGGTTTAAATGGAAATCTTCAAATCTATCCTCCAGAGGTACTGGAACAACTACTCCCGGGGAAAAGAGATGGTTTAAGGCATTTTGCAAATTTGACTGTTCATTTTATTTGGAACAAAGCAGTGATGGTGTAGATATTGAAACTTTTTTTGCACCCTTTGAAACCACTGATTAAACCCACAGGCCAGGGAAGTCTGTCACCCAGAGAGAGAATAGCAAACTGTAACATACGCCCCCCCCCCCACTCTTTGGAGTGGAGACGCCCCTAAATCACGTGATGCGATTTTCCACGCAACAATCACAGGAAAACTGCACCATGTTTTAGGCACCAATGAAAATAATGGCACCTGAACTTGCATTTTGTGATCACAAGGATTCTGCTGCGATCCCAAAATGCCCAGGTGTGAATGGAACCGCCCTGGTTCACACACATGCGATTCTGGAATAGTTTTGAAACTCACAGATTAGCATTACAGGCTAGATATTGTGTTCCTATTGAGGTGGGTTCACACAGATGCGATACACACGCATTGTGTTTTGCATGCAATTATGAAAAAAGATCTGTGTGAGTTTGTAGCAGTGCGTTCAATAATCGCAAGTGATAGAGTAGAGTGGCATCCGGAGATAAGTGTTCATATAGGATTGCTATCGACAGACGTTTCCCCATTGAAGTCTATGGGAGGCGTTTCCCCATTGAAGCCAATGGCATGCAGTGTGTGAACCCAGGTGCCAGAACAATTTCTAGTTACCTTGGTGACCTGGGATTTGTCAATCCCTGCACTAAAGAGATGTCCTCCTTTAAAGGGTATACGTGCAAGGCATCGATTACGGACAGTTTTAGCAGACCAGGCTAATTGTGCATGTGAAGAGAAATCAGACCCATTTTGGAGATGTGTTATGACTTGTTCTAGGGAATTAACACAAAAGAGCAGATCAGAAGGTAACTGCTGTAATTTCTCAAAAATACAGAATCATGTTGGTTGCTCATCGCCCTTGTTCATACTCACTGAGGTTTGACAAATAGAAATTACAGCAACATCTGGTTGCATAGCTGGTGCTGCGAGCGCTTTTAAGAGTGTCTCAAACCTGTCAGCAAAATCTTTGAATGAAGGAACATCTTCTATAGGTACAGTAAGACCGCACTGTCTACTCCTGAACAGTCCACTTTTTTGGAGACTTTCCATTGGACAGAATTTACCAATGATTCTGGACTGACCCGATAGATTGCCCATCAAATCAGAATCAAATGCTCCAATGCTGATACTTTTGTGCACAGCAGAAGTGAGCATATAAATTGACAAGCATATTGCATGAAGCCGTAACAGTTGGTGTAAAGGAGCCAGGGGATGAGAAATCTTCCATAGCGACCTCCAACACCGTCTCTGGGTCCTTTTCATTCTCTTCTATGTCTGCGTCTTCTAGAGCAGGCATACAATAGGATCTGACTCTGCAAGAGAAAGCAGAGTCAGAAAAGGAGCCTTGTTCTTTTGAGCTCTGGACAGTGATGGGTGTATTAAGGCTGTTAGTTGTCTGAGAAATTGTGATATAGTTGAAGAAAGTCTGTCTTAGCCACATGTTGCTTGCCTGAGATAGAGCTAGAAGCAGATGCAAAGACTGATGCATCGTCACTCAAAGAATTTTGAGTGCGATTTGCAGGCTTTCATCTGAGTGAATGTTTGCCTGAGATTTTGCCACGGTTCTCTTTCGCATGGTTTTTGCCTCTGCCATCAGTAAGGGTACTACCCTGTGAGGTACTCCTGGAGTAAGGTGCAAAAATATGGTAAGCATGTCCGTGATAAAGTACAAAGCAACCTAATGGTGACTGTCCTGTAGCAAAGTCCTCATCTCAAAAAGGACGATGAAGGTGCTTGAGTACTTTATAAAGAGATCTAAGCTGAAGTGGCAGCAAGGTGTGACCTATGGCGTTATGTGACACTTGGTCATCCACCTGAGACTAAGGTCTGAGTAGTCAAATTTTAGCACCAAGTTTGAAAATGATTTACTTATTGTTTTCAAACACATTCCTGGATTCTTGACAGTTTTAGAGTATAAAACGCACACTATTCAGGATACACCAGAAAGTAATGCGGACAGTATATCTCATACTTGTTATATGCCTAAAGCAATGGTCAAGGAAACTGTTACCTGTCCAAATCACTAGTCCTTATATGAGGACTCCTTTTATCTAAGTGGTGTTCAGAGTCTGGGCACTATAGAAGGATCACAGTCCTGGAAATGTATAGCATCCTGTGGCTAATTACACTACAAGCGTTGCACTAAATGCTAAGGTAAGCATCAATGCAGGATCCAGTTTCCAACGCTCCCAAGCTTTTCTGAGGTAATTGTTATATTAGAAGACAATGAAGACTTGACTGAAGAATCCAAAGAAAAATAATAAACTAAACTAGTTAGGCTAATAGTGATTTGTCTGTAATGAAAAAAAAAAAAAAAAAAAAAAAAAGGCACTTACTTGGCTTTCCTATCTTCGTGTGCATCTTTCAGATTTCTTTCTTCCCGTACATCATCCCTTTTCTCTCTGCGATCTTCTCTTCCTTTGTCTTTTTCATCCCAGTCTCTTGGACGTTCTCTCTCTCTGCCTCTCTCTCGCTCTCTTTCACGCTCTCTCTCTCGTTCACGCTCTCTCTCCCGTTCACGCTCACGCTCCCTTTCACGCTCTCGATCTCTCTCACGCTCTTCTCGTTCTCTTTCCCGTTCTCTTTCTTTCTCTCTCTCACGCTCACGAGCTCTCTCACGTTCAGACTCCCGCTCTTTTTCTCTATCCCTTTCTCTCTGTTCTCTCTCACGCTCCCTCTCCCTTTCTCGTTCACGCTCTCTAGTTCTATCATCCCTCCTATCATCTGTTCGGTCAACTCTGCGCTCATCTCTTCTTTCCTCACGCTCATCCTCATTCCTTCCTCTGTGAGGTGCTGGAGATGTTGGTCTTTGCTCTGTCAATGAGAAGACAATTGAAATAGTACTTTGATGGCTGCCTGTAGCAATTTCCTTGACTAAATACTGACAGCTCAAATTAAAAGCAGCCAGTCAAGTAGATTATGTATGCTATTTTCCTGTCAGTGGCCAGAACACAAGAAATCTTCCCCCAACTCCACCCATAATCATAGGTAGTTAAATACTGGGTCAGCATTGAAATCTCAATTAACCAGCATTTTTAGAAGAGTTAAACAAAACCAGCACCAGAACTGGTTTCTTTTAGATTATTCTAATAGACTAACTCCTAATCCATTTTACCTCTATTAAGAATATTTTTTTTTAAATATATACCGACATTAGGGACTAGATGTGGGGGGGGGGGGAAGGGGGCGGCAATCTAGTAATACAAGGAGGAAACAAATGGAAGGACGCACATACTGATGGAAAACATGTTATTTATGTTATGTTTAATAAATATGTAGGGAGCAATACAGTCAAACTGTATTCACTATGTACTGAATATTTAAAACGAATGACCTTACCTCTCTCTCTGTCTCGACGATCTCGATCCCCATGTCTACGATCAAATGAAGAATCTCTTCCCTGCTCCCGACTGTCATATCGTTCTCTATCAGCATAACTACTCCTGGATTCCCAGTTGTCATGGTAACTGCTGCTGCTGTGGTTATCAACCTGGGAGGCTCTTGTTCCACGACCCAGCCACTAAAAAAACAAACAAAAAAAAACAAAGATCAGCTGTGATATGTCGTCATCATGCTCATGTGCAAATGCAAAAGCTTACATCAATTCCATATGCTTTTGTAAACTGCAACCACAGCATATATGAAGTAACGCCGTGACGTCAGATTGAGCACAATAATTCTAGCACCAGACCACCTGTGTAACTCTAAACTGGTAACCTGTAAAAGGCTTTTAAAGATTGGTCTATGGTGATTTCAAAGTACCATAGTTGGTTTCCATTACACGGACGTGAACAATTTTCAAGCGTGACATGTTAGGTATCTATTTACTCGGCATATAATCCTCTTTATATTTTACCAAACCATGGGGTATATATCCAGTTTACGTGCACTAAAGTTCATTAGAAATTGTATTTTCCCCCAAAATTCACAGTTGAAAATTGCAAATATCGTATGACAGAAAAAATTGCAACAATCAACTTTTTTTTTTTTTTTCTCTAGGGCCTTTGCTTTTAGAAAATATATGTTTGGGGGCTGTGAGTAATTATCTAGTTAAAAAATAAATAAAAAAGCCAATTTTTACATGTCTGTGAGAAGTGTCAGAATTGGCCTGGGAGTCAAGTGGCTAAAACAAATGTCACTCCCATTAAGAATTGGTGTCCAAAGACACAAAGTGGAAGAAACCACTTTCTTAAGAACAGAAGCGGGTGGGAATCCGCATCATAATAATTTTTTAAAATCCTTGCAATGTACATTGACAACCCAGAAGGGATTGCTTTTTCTTCACACAAAATTGTGAAGTGTGAAGTTCTCCTTACCGCTTCCCACTCAGCGAATAATAGGAGCATGGTCATCCTAGGTGGACGTCATATGGCATCTTCCCAGTATCGGGCCACTTTGCAGCACAATCTGTCACCCACTGTGTCCACCAGACATGGCGGATGACAAAATTAGTGTACCAGGCCGCTGCCGTTACTATGTGATTGCTGTGACAAATCACAGCAGATCACATGGCAATTGTACACAATTGGTCACAGTGATCACATCGCACAGAGCCAATCACAGTGCATCTGTACCATGTGATAGCTGTGATCAATCACAGTACATACTCAATGGATGCCATTCTTAAAAAAAATGGTTGCTTATAACAGTGATTATCAATGTTATAATTAAACCTTGTGTGTAAATAAAAAAAAAAAAATCCTGATCATTGCTCCAGAGTAGTAGTGTGTCACTATGGTAATACGGTACTGCTCTGGTTACAGCATGTAAAAACAAAATCGTAAAAAAAAAAAAAAAAAATTTTTTCTTTCTATACACACTGTCACTTCTGATCATCACACCAGTTATATGATGCTGTACTGCAGTGGTGATAGAATGTTTTAAAAACTCTCCATTTTCCATAAAGTTGTGACAAAAAAATTACAACTTCACTAACTCACCATGCCTCTTACTAAATACCTTGGGACTGTCTACTTTTCAAAAAGAGGTCGTTTGAGGGGGTATTTGTACTGTCCTGCATTTTCAGGCCTCGAGAAATTAAAAATCGGTACATCAGGACTGATCGACTCATTACACACACAGAAATAGTTGAAAAAAAAACTACTTGTCCAGGGACGAAATCGGTGCCCCAATCTATTTGTCCCTCATGACAATCTACTTGTCCTGATAAAAAAAAGAATTTAACCAAAACCATATTCAAATCTAAGGTGATTTTAGGAAGGCCTTTAAGCTTTATGGTGATTTAAAACGTGTAATAATTTTAACATTGCGCTGTTTATCTCCTCCTCACCTCCCTGCCTGTCTTCAGCACCGCACCTGGGGGACTAGCAGGGAGAGACCTTGCTGTGTAATGAGCACTGATTGAGTGCTCGTCAGGAAAGGGGAGTATGAGTATGTATCCCTTTCGCTGCCAGAGCTGTTTGAGTTTTTTGCACAAGTTTAAAAAATAATTTTAGTCCTGTAGATTACATAAAATCCCCAAGCATGATATATTTTCTGAAAGCAGACTCCCTAGAGAATTATATAGTGGTAAATTCCAATTTTTTATGCTGCATGATGTGACCGCAATATTTCAGAAAAAATACAAGTTAATTTTAGGGCACCAAAAAAAAACAAAAAAAAAAACAAAAAGGCAATAAATTACCTTAATTTTTTGTAAAATATAAAAGATGAGGTTGCATCGAGTAAAACAGATATACAACATGTCAAACCTTAAATTTGCATGCGCTCGTGAAATGGCGACAAACTTCAGTACCCTATATTTTCTATAGGCAACACTTTTAAAGCACCTTATAGGTCATCAGTATAATGTTATGGAGGAAGTCTCATGCTAGAATTATTTCTCTTATCCTAGTGTGTGCGGTGATATGTAAGGTGTATCACAATCAACGTTTTCTTGCATAGGCGCCCCAGCGTGTGCTTTTTACGTTTGCACGTATAAGTGGGGGGTGGGATCTCAATTTTTTTTTTTTTTTTGGGGGGGGGGGTGCTTGGGTGTAATGTTCATTTACTACAATTAAATAAAAAGTCCCCTCCAATCTGTCAACGGGAACCCGGAAGGGACATCATAACGTCACTTCCGGGAAGAGGCTGGCACTGTGAGGAAGCAACCGGCAGCAGCCCTGCCATCCGAATGCTTCCACCTGACAGGTGAGCCCTGCTGCTTACCCGCAGCAGGGCTAAAGGTGGTTGGTGAAAAAAAAACTACCTGACCGGCGCCTGGAGCTACATGTCCCAGGCGTCAAGCGATATAAATTCAACATCCATGTGCCTTCATGATGGACTCCTTCTATAAATTGTTAATGAAAGTGAATTCCAAGTTTCTCACTGATGCTACCTTTAGGTGAAAAATGTGAAACAAATGCCGCTGTAAAAATAAAGTTTTACACATGCTATCTTTACTTTATTGGAGCTTGTCTGTCCCGCGTTGTCGACGTCTAATATTGGGAGGTGCACCACACAGCCCCACCCCTGGGAGCCGCGCCACACAGCCCCACCCCCGGGAGCCGAACCACACAGCCCCACACGCACTGTGTCTTGAGTGCCATTATGAAAAGAGTTCTGTGCAAGTTTGTTGTAGTGCGTTCCAGACTCGCAAGTGATAGAGCAGAGCCGCATGTGAAATGTTTACATAGGATTTCTACTGACAGGAGTTTTCGCCGCGACGTCTACGGGAGGCGCTTTCGCGTCGAAAAAAAAAAACAAAACATTATTTTGGGTAAGAACAATAAAAGACGATAAAAAAAATAAAAGCAAGACAGAAATGAAAATATTTGTTCCGCAGGAAAGCTTTATATTAAGCAGTAAGGCTCAAATCACAGTGTTATCATAGGAATAAAGACCTTTATTTTAAGCCATGGGACTGTAAGGTTGAAATATCAATCAAAATAACTCACTTAAAAAAAAAAAAAAAAAAAAAAAAATTCAATCATAAATTTAGTCCAAAATGTATTCTGCTGCATGACTTTGCTAAGAAACAAATCCCAATACGTCCTGTAAATGAATTGGTTTACGTGAAAGTTATAGTTTTTTTACGTATGGCAGTATATATATACACTGGAATTTTTTTTTTTTTTTTTTGCTAGTAATGGCGGCGATCAGCAACTTATAGCAGGACTGCAGCGGGCATTGACACTGGGTGGGAACTGATTTCTCCAGTGACACCAATACAGTGATCAGTGCTAATAAAAAGCACTGACACCTATTAATGGCACTGAGCAGGAAGGGATTAACATGTAGGGGCATTCAAAGGGTTAACCATGTGCTGTTTTACTATGTGCGCTGTGTGTGCGTTTCACTGTAAGCACACTGCTTTGTACGGCTCTGCTATGCAGAGACCACCGGGACCCGGTGATTGACAGCAGAGGCCGCGTGTGCACTCCCTACCTGGAACTGCAAAATCAAATATATATACACACACACGTGATTTTAAGCACCCTGCTATAGGGTGGCGAGGAAGCGGTTAAAGACTTATATTTGTTTTTCTCTAAAAAATTTTAACCGCTTTAGCACCACCCCATAGCAGATATACTGCTACAGGGCAGCAGCTGTGTGCAAAATCACATATACAGGTGAAACTCAAAAAATTATAATATCATGCAAAAGTTCATTTATTTCAGTAATGCAACTTAAAAGGTGAAAATATATGAGATAGACTCATTACATGCAAAGCAAGATAGTTCAAGCCGTGATTTGTCATCATTGTGATGATTATGGCTTACAGCTCATGAAAACCCCAAATCCACAATCTCAGAAAATTAGAATATAACATGCAATCAATAAAACAAGGATTGTACATAGAACAATATCGGACCTCTGAAAAGTATAAGCATGCATATGTACTCAGTACTTGGTTTGGGCCCCTTTTGTAGCAATTACTGCCTCTATGCGGTGTGGCATGGAAGCTATCAGCCTGTGGCACTGCTGAAGTGTTATGGGAGACCAGGATGCTTCAATAGCGGCCTTCAGCTCTTCTGCATTGTTCGGTCTCATGTCTCATCTTTCTCTTGGCAATGCCCCATAGATTCTCTATGGGGTTCAGGTCAGGCGAGTTTGCTGGCCAATCAAGCACAGGAATCCCATGGTCAGTGAACCAGGTTTTGGTGCTTTTGGCAGTGTGGGCAGGTGCCAAGTCCTGCTGGAAAATGAAGTCAGCATCCCCATAAAGCTCGTCTGCGGAAGGAAGCATGAAGTGCTCCAAAATCTCCTGATAGAAGGCTGCGTTGACCCTGGACTTAATGAAGCACAGTGGACCAACACCAGCAGATGACAAAGAAGTGGAATATTCTGCAATGGCCGAGCCAATCCCCTGATCTCAACCCAATTGATCATGCATTTCACTTGCTGAAGGCAAAACTAAAGACCCACAAAGAACTGAAGACAGCTGCAGTTACAGTCTGGCAAAGCATCAGAAAGGAGGAAACCCAGTCTTTGGTAATGTCCATGGGTTCCAGACATCAGGCAGTCATTGCCAGTAAAGGATTCTCAAAAAATATTAAAAATGAACATTTTATTTATGATTATATTCAATTGTCCAATTACTTTTGGTCCCTTGAAAAAGGGGGGATGGCTAATCTTAAGAGCTGTAATTCCTAAACCCTTCAATTTGGATGTACATACCCTAAAATAAACCTGAGAGTGTGCACTTTCAGCCCATATCCATTATATAACTGTAGCTTGAATATGTACCTGAAAAAACTAAAATTGTGCCTAAATATATATGGACCTAAAACAAACACACACACACAGGCCTAAACTTATGAAGAAAGATTAAAGTGATAACACTGTTTTCAAAGTGACAGGTGTAATGAAATATATGAAAAGCCACGTGACCGTTGTGTAACGAGTAGACGCACTTCCGGTTTCGAGTGGTGACGCACTTCCGGTTTCGGACGCCATCTTGGTACACCTTATCCCTTAGTACACCCATATCACATGGGAAACCGTGCCTGTGTACTTGATAACATGTGAGTGTCCATTTCTTGGCGTTTTTAAAGTGAATTAAAACGGTGTTGCACTATGGAGGTTTGTTTTTTGTTTTAATACACATGCCCTGTATGTCTGAGTCCATAGTGCGAGGAGAGTGGTCTGAGAAGAATCCATTACCCCGAGGGGGACCTTAGTGGAGTCGGTGGAATCAGTGGAGGCATTGAAGCCAGGTTGAGATCCTTATAATATAAAGCTCTGTGGCCCTTATGAGTCGAATTTAGAAGGTGAGGAGGCACTTTAGCTAGTCCAGGGGAGTCACATCAGAGTGTCACCAGGAGCACGTTTGCAGCATGGAATGAAGTCTTGAAGCACTGTGTATTGAACACCATACATTATTTGCACAGTTTTGATATCCCATTATTTTGGACTGTTTTTGATTTATTTTTTTATATATTTCGTTACACCTGTCACTTTGAAAACAGAGTGTTATCACTTTATCATTTTCACTCATCTGGTTAGCCACTAAGTGGCATATCAGGAGTTTGGTTTGGCACATTTATATAAATTTTAGAATTTAGGTACCTTATCAGAGCACTAGTTCATTTTGCATATTGCTGACGTCACGCTATTTATCCATTATCATTTTATAGGGGATTGAGTGCATTTATTATTCACATGATTTAATCACGTTTGGATTTGTACTTTATAATATATATTATTGATTTATGTTGTGTACAATATAAGCTGAGCGCTTCATCATTTTTTTGATTATTTGCACATGTCCTGTGGTATAGGGAATAGGTGATAGCAGCTGGCTTTTTTAGTTAGGTATTCTGTGGAGCGCAGGAGGACCTCTGTTTATGAAGAAAGATTAATTCCAAAATTTTTTTATTTTTCTCACAAAATGTTTGGTCCTCTTCATTTATTTAGCAAAACAAAAAACCCAGTGGTGATTAAAAAACACCAAAAGAAAGCTCTATTTGCGTGGAAACAACACAAATTTAATTTTGGTATACTGTTGCATGACTAAGTAATTGTCAGACAGTGCTAAAAGTTGAAAATAGGCCTGGGAAGGAATGGGGGGGGGGGGGGGGGGGGGGGGGGGGGGGGGGGGGGGGGGGTTCGGGGTTCGGCATCGAGGTGTTTAAAAATACATACTACAATATTAAAATACATGTGTGAAATATACACGAAAAAGCATTTCCATTTATTACACCAAGGCAATGGTGTAGGTGAAGGGAAGATGAAAAAAAAAAAAAAAAGCTACCTTTTTCAGGAGGGTCAGGAGCACGTACTCTTGACCGGCCATTTCTCGTATCACTTCTAGAATCATTTCTGCTCTCATTTCGTGTTTCAGATCGGGAAGCCTCTTCTCTGCCATGGCTTCTTCTGTAACTTCGATCTTCATACTGATCATCCTTTCGGTGGGATTCACGGTTATCCCTTTCTCTGTAATCATGTGTGTCACGGGCTGACCGAGTGTCTTTCTGTTCACGGCTTTCTTTACCCTCTCTGTAGTCCCGGCTATCTCTAGCATCACGGACTTCTCTGGTGTCTCTAGTTTCTCGTCGATCACGATTGTCTCTTACGTCTCTACGATCACGACCATCGCGAGGTTCTCTGTCCTCTCTGTGCTCTCTAGAACTGCTTGGTTCCCGGTCATGATCTCTATCATCTCGCTCTCTGTCTTTGTCCTTTCTTCCTCTGCTGTCTGAACAAAATAGATATTTTTTTTAAAATTTCCTAAAGTAGATTTCCACAATTGCAGCCAAATTTTAGAAAACCCCACTATGCAAGTTATGTGTTCCCCATTCACACAGCATACCCCAAAAATAACACATTTCTTACCTTTCTAGGTGTTTGGAGGCCTGGGGCAACATTGCAAGCTACACTGAACAGTTTGGGGGCAGATTTCCCCTCATTTCAATGACAAAAAGGGACACAGTTTCCACTAACATACAAGGAAGAAGCCAAGCATTAACTTTTTTGTTAGGACAGTCTTCAAATCTAGTTTACAACTGATGAGATCCACTACCACAGTACAGAAAGATTTATTGTAAACATTATCTCCCCAGACCCCTCAATGCGTACAGCGGTAAAAGTAGTATTTTTAACTGCCTGCTGCACAGTGTACATTTATAAACATTCTGAGCAGCAAGCAGTTCTACCAGGCTCATAGCTGCAGCTGGTACCTTTTCTTAAAGGTGGCAATCATTTTCCTGTAAGTGTGATCCTGGAGGCTTTTATAGTGCTCAGAAGGGCCAGGTCCACTGAGAAAGCCAATGATCGTGGTAACGTGTTGGGTCAGCTGTACACAGAGGAGACGGGGGAACGGATGCAGAATGAATGAAGCCGGAAGGACCTTGTCACTTCCAGTTAAGAGCAATCTTTACCTAGCCATTAGAGCTAGGGAAGCAGCTGATCAGCTGCCTTGAAGGGCAAGGGAGGCATCAGAGGTCCAATAGCCCCATGATGTCTACATAAAGAGTGCCTATCATTGCCCAAAGCTATCACAAAGGGATCTTCTCCCCCCTTGTCATAACAAAATTAAATAAAATAATAAAATCATAAAATAAATTTAAAAGCACCCCGATCCCATGCTCGCACGCAAAAGCACACGCAGGTTCAGCCTGCATATGTAAACTGTGATTGTACCACATGAAAGGAATAGTGTTATTAGACTACGGAGCTGCTATTCCTCCCCTAAATATTTATACCTAAACCCAACAGCCAGCTCACACTATCATACTGTATGTTTCACACATATAAAATACTATATGTAGCACTACTCCAACTATAATCATACATAAAGTCAAAACCATATACGCTTGTGAAGGGCAGTGCCACACAAACATATTATATACAAAAGTGAAATTCCAAAATAAACCATTATTCTATCCCAAGTGCAGAAGAATATAAAACAGGGCTTGATAAATCCCAGGCACCAGGTTGCCATGGCGACTAGAAATTGCGTCTAGGGTTCACACACTCCCTCCAGTAGACTTCAAATCAAAAACTCATCTACGTATGCCCCTCTATCACTTGCGCTGCTACAAACTAGCACAGGACCTTTTCATAATGGCACTCAAAACACAATGCCTGTTGATAGCATATGTGTGAACCACCTCACTAGGAACACAATATCTAGCCTGTCCTGAGAATCTGGGTTTGAAAACACATCTAGAATCGCATGTGTGAGAACCAGGGTGGTTCTATTCACATTTGGTAGTTTTGGGATCGCGGCAGAATCACTGTGATCGCAAAATGCAGGTTTAGGTGCAATTATTTTCAATGGCGCCTAAAACGTGGTGCAGTTTTGTCGTGATTGTCGCGTGACAAATCGTATTGCACGAAGCATGTCGCCCAAAAGCTGCCTTGCCCCGGGCCATGTCAACCCATGCTAAAAGAAAGAAAAAAAATTGGCTTTTAACTTTTTAGCTGGCTACTAGATTCAAAGCAAATTTGGTAAACCCTGATATCAAACACTTCTTTTTATCACTTTGTGCATATAATCTTCAGTGATTCACTCCTCCACTGCAGTGCTTCACTTAAGTGTGCTCTCACCTTAAAGAAATTACCTGCACATTATAGAGGTCATTAAAACCATTTTTTTTTTTTTTTATTCCCCCTTTCTGGGTACCAGATCTCCCAGATAGTGTTAACTTCCCACAATCACAAGCAGAGACACCACATATTGGTTTCCATTTTTAATACCACATTTATTAAAAACATTTCTGTGTGCCAAGTGCAAATGCTGGAACATGTTACACATTCCATCCTAAAAACGGGTGGAACATGTAACATGATCCAAAAGGTGAACTTCACCTTTATAGTAAAAAGCCTTCCATGTTCAGCTCTCTCCCCCCCCCCCCCCCCCCCCCCAGTCCTCCCTAAATATTTACCTGAGCCCCATCTTAATCCAAAGCTGTGCATGAAAGCAGCAGTGCAGCTTTTTCTCTCTCCTCCCAGGCTCAGACAGCTGCGGCAACCGTTGGCTCCTGCTGCTGACAAGCAAATCCTGTGACAAGCGAGCAGCCGCTGGGCCAAACCACGCTGTGCGTATCAATAGAGCCTGGCTTGAGGACCGAGCACGCACAAGTTCCCCCATAGCAAGTGGCTTGCTAGGAGGTATTCGTAAGGGAGGAGGAGCCAAGAGCACCGGTCAGGGACCCCAGAACAGGAGGTTCAGGACCACCTTGTGCAATACTTTTGCTACATAGCATGTAAGTATAATATTAGGGATGCACCGAAATTTCAGTGGCCGAAGTGTTTCGTCCAAAAACACCCCTATCAGCCTTTGGCAAATATGAAAATAAGCACCGATGCAGGTGCTGAAAATAACCCCACCCCTTGCTGCCACCACCCGCTGGCTCTCATCCTTACCTGAGAAACCAAACGATCCCAGGAATTGGGCATAGAGATAAGTGCAAAAAAGATTTCCTCCAATCATCTGGAGGACCAGAGCGACATCACTTCAAGTTCTGGCGCCTTGCAAATTACATTGCTTTACATTGTAGATTACATAGTTAGCCTGGCTGAAAAAAGACAAAAGTCCATCCAGTTCAACCATTAAAAAGAAAAAAAAAAAAAGTTATAATCCTATACCCACAGTTGATCCAGAGAAAAAAAAAAAAAAAAAACAGCAAAGCATTATCCAATTTGTTTCTGCAGGGAAACTAATTCCTTCCTGATCCCTCGAGAGGCAATCGGATATTCCCTGGATCAACTTTACCTATAAATGTTAGTATCCAGTTATATTCTGTGTATCCAAGAAACAATCCAGGCCTTTTTTAAAGCAACCCACTGAGCTGGCCAGAACCAACTCTTAAAGGAGTCTATTCCACATTTTCACAGCTCTCACTGTGAAGAAACCTTTCCATATTTGGAGATTAAATTTCTTTTCCTCCAGACGTAAAGAGTGCCCCCTTGTCCTCTGTGATGACCTCAGGGTGAATAGCTCTACACCGAGTTCACTATATGAACCACTGATGTATTTATACATGTTGATCGTATCCCCCATTAATTTCCTCTTCTCAAGGGATAATAAATTCAGTTCCTCTAATCTTTCCTCATAGCTGAGCTCCTCCATGCCTCTCATCAGTTTGGTTGTACTTTCTCCAGTTCCCCAATGTTCTTTTTGTGAATTGGTGCCCAAAACTGAACTGCATATTCCAGATGATGTCTTACTAAAGATTTGTACAGGGGTAATATGATCTCTCTCTGCGTTGGAAAATTACATTTTTAAAAACTGTCCATTTTGGTTTCTGGCCAAGTGCATCCAGAATTTTCGGTTTCGGTGACATAATTTTCAGTTCGGTGCACCACTATATATTAGGATTATTATTTTAATAAAAAAAATAAAGCTTTACAATCACTTTAAGTGCTGCTTGAACTTAGAGAAATTGCGGTCTATATCTTTTCAGGATTTTAATCATTAGCCCACAAAAACATCTACCCATGTATACTTTAGCAAACATTAAGACTGTAATCTATGAACAGATTTAGTAATGCATCAAGATGTTAAAGTGATTGTAAACCCAAATTTAAAAAAAAAAAAAATCATTTTGCCATAAATGAATACATTTTAATGTTAACATACTTACAGCTGTGAGTGTACCTCAGGAAAAACGCTCACAGCTTGCCTCAACCCTCCAAAAACTGCTGGTCTGTGGGCGTGGCTTAGGACCAGAGAATAGTAGGCAGAGATGCGATGTCACACAATCCCTCAGTTACACACATGCTCCAGCCTCAGCTCATGAATGTACACAGCTATCTGACATCTCTATGCCTGCAAGCGCGTTTCCTGAGTTCATTCATGGGAAGACACAGGTGCTAGTAAATGTCAGCTCTGCTTACAGCATAGTATCTGTGCTAATCAGGAGACAGCAGGTATGAAGGGTTTCATTTTAAAAATCCTAGGAATCCTGCAGCCTAAAATGGACCAGGAAACAGTCTCATGTAAAACTATGTAAACAGCAATTCACAAGCTAGGTGCAGTGAATTAAGCAGGACAATAATCAGCTGTCAGCAGACTTCCCTAGATAAGTACAGCATTACTGAAGTGATGCCGATCTATGTCATAAATCACTGGTGCTGAGGTCTCGATCTTGTGAAGGCATAGACCAGCAGGGAGAAAACTCCCACTCCCCCACCCCTTGTAGTGTATTACATGGAGACTCATGCTGGTCTCATCTTCAGCACAGCCGGTCACTCACAGGAGAAGGGGAGTGGTGAGATCGTTTTTCTGCGTGTCGGATTTATTATGTTCAGAAGAGCAGGGGGGGATTCCAGATACCAAACTAAGCTCAAGTGCATAGTAAAAGGTAACATCTATTCAACTGTAGGATGACGGATTTGTGTTTAGGTTTACCGCCACTTTAACACATTTTGCAATACAAACCTATAGAGAAAATGTACCCGTTTAATTTTATAAATTCAATTAAATGTGATCAATTGAAGGCGCAGGTCACTGAGGATACTAAAACCTGCTGTCTGGAAGATGAGCAGGCACCTATCCCCTGAGCAGCAATTGGATAGAGAGACCAAGAAATTGCAGTTATTTACAGTGAATCATTACAGGAAAAAAAAATGCAAACTCTTTATATGTAATAGAATAACAAATTTAGAACAAGAACCTCACGCCACTTTTCAATCGAGCACTTACCATCCCTCCTGTCATGTCGTCTGTCCTGGGAAGCAGACGTTCTCTCCCTCTCATGTCTTCCTTTTTCTCTAGATGGAGAGTGATGTTTGGACTGACTTCGTCTCCTCTGAGGAGATGATCCATGAGTACCATAGGGAGAGGAGGAGCGCCTTCCAGCAGGTGAGGAGGTCCTCTGATAATGAAGGGATGGAGATCGTCTGCGACGAGGGGAGGGAGAGTGTCTCTGTACAGAGGATCCTGACTGTGATGATGGCGAATGATGCCTTGAGGACATGGGAGAGTGATGACGTGCAGCAGGAGAAACCGACCTAACAAGTGTAAAACAAACTTAATGTTTATGGAAATTGTACAACCACCAATTCTAAGTTAACTCTTTCAGCAGAAGATAAAAGGGTTGACTCATTTAAAACAACTGCTATTGCTTGCCAAGAATATGAAAATAGTTTAATATCTAGGGCAACTAGAACTTTTGTGCTGTAAAATCCTTTGCTCAGGGTTGACTGAGGGAAGCTAGAAAATCAACCTAGGATAACCCCCTCCTACCAGCATGCATCAGTACCAAGAGTATGTCCCTCAATGGATCCCAAGAAAAAAAAAGTTTTTGCAGGTAAAAAAAAAAAATAATGCGCATTTATTTTTGTGTGCAGGAACCTGTAAAGCATTGCACCAGCAATCAACAGACCTGGGGTCCATCCAAGAGGGTGGTGCATTACACACAAAAGGTTTTAATCAAGAGTCAGAGGCCAATGGTCTGAAACTCTGGAAAGGGCAGACACTTGACCCTAAAAGTGGAAGTTCAGTCAAAATCGAACGCACACTAAACCTACATACACACCCATGCCAGGCCTATTCCATCTAACCTTGTAAAGAAAAGAATTGTATTCTTATCTATTCTGAAGCCACTCTGGTCCAGTCACATGATCTCTCCAGCACTGGCTTCTGTGTAGAGAGATTGCTGACAAGGGCTGCAAATGCCTGGTCAATGACATCACCCATAGGCTTACGCTTGGGCATCTGTCGTCGGCTGCCCCTCCTCTACATTAAAGCCACCTCAGCCAGCTGATCATGGGACCAGACTGGAGAGGCTTCATAATTGGTATGTATACATAGCTTTTCTTAGGGTTAGGTAAAATAGGCTTAGAATGCAGGTGGGAGTAGGTTTACTTATATATTTTGACTGAAACTTCCACTTTAATTGTGCAGATAGCTGGTGCACTGGTTTGGAACACTAGAATACTGGTACAAACCCAGCTACAAGGAGACAACTCATCCCACAAAGAAGCCCTTGGGGTGAAAGCCTGAAGCTCAAACCAAGTGAATTATGCCTTCCACTTTTCATGAAAGATCTTACTGGAAATAAAACTTCCTAGCTTTAAGCTTTAGGAAAGCCTCAGATGCCACTGCCATGCCATTAAAGCCAGCGAGAAAAGGTCCACCCAAATCTCTAAATGACTGAACAGTTAAACATATGCCTAACAGACCCCCTCGCTGACTGTTCCTTCAACAGGACAGTGTCTTAGTGCCCTACAATGGAGATACCATAAGAATGCAATAGGGATTAAACACAGAAGCTAGCACCTTGGAACACCCAAGATGCAGAAGAGAGGCCAAAAGGCAGGGACACAAACTGGTACTGTAGTGCCCTGCAGCAAAATATCAAAACCTCTAAAGGGTGAATGTTCTCTTTTGATCTGGGAACAGTGAACAGGTTAGAATAAAACTTGTAATGGTTTTGCCACAGGTGCCATGACAATAACATCTTTATCTAGAAGACAAAGGGCTCAATGGGCTAATCTATGTGGAAACAGAGGAAGGTTTAAAGTAAAGAAACACATAAAAGACAAGAAGGAAAACTTGAGTTTGAAGCCCTGGGACACCACCACCCAAACCCAGGCATCTAAAATGGAAGCTGTTCAACCACCTTAAAAAGAAAAGGGAAAAAAAAAAAAAGAAAAAGGCAACAGGTATCCCTAACTGTGGAGGTGATTTCAACAGATGTGACTTTGCAGGCAAATTGGAAGCCAAGCTTGGTAAAGGGGGGATGGGGGCTGGGGGGGTGATGTTCAACGCTGAACTCAAGAAAGATGGGAAACAAAAAACTGATATTTCTTAACAGTAAGAGGGATGACAGCACCTTAGGCTTTCTCCGTTGGGGAAGATGGGTGCGCTTGACACTAGTAACATCTACGATAATGTTTGCCAATAAGATTTTGTGGACCAGCACTATAGCCAAATTGCCCTAAGTATATGCACCAACTTGAGGCACATCCAAGAGACGAGACCAGAGGCTTCCAGCAAACTGTCACAGCTAAAATTTAACATTACAGCCATCTGCTCCATGACTTCAACAAGCAAAGGAGCAACTACAGCAGTGGCTAGATCTCTTAAGGGATTTTGACCGGTCAGACATGGTTTGACAAACTAGTCAAAGCCAGGATCAAGCGTACAGCAGTACCTGCCAGCGAGAACAGAGCTCTGAAAAGGGCTTCCAAGCTTTCATGTGTTGGGTGCATCCTCCGCCAGTATAGTAAACACCTTAAGGCGAGTCACAGTGGATTCCACAATTTAAATAGACCATTTCTGAACAAAATGAATAATCCCCTAAAATGCGCATAGAGAAAAGCAAACTTATCAGAGTGCTTCCTATCGCCTTAGATAAAAAGTAGAAGTTGTTCAAAGGGAAAGTTTCTGTGGCCTTAGGAGATTTAAATGACCCAGGATGAGAAAAATAGTAGAAGCAACAAACGGATCCTCTGTTTTTAAAGTGATGCACACTGAATCAATAAGAGCCAAAGTTGCCTCAATTTAGGTGTAGTAGCAGAGGACTGCCTTCTCGGGTGTAAGTTAATCAGTCAAGGACTTCAGCAAATCAGAATAATTCTCTGCAGCCACCAGCTCAAAAGCCAATAAAGTTGTTAAATCAGATATCTGCTGGAGAATGATGTGCACTTGAAGCCTCTGTAATCCAAATCAGCAAATAACTGCCTAAAAACGTCTTACATGACCATAGCAAAGACCTGCCAAAAAAGCAGAAAACCCACCCACACCCAAAGGAGGTACAAAGGATTCAGAGGGGGGAGAGGACACAGAGGACAGCATAAATCTAGGAAGCAGACACTGGAACTAAAAGCAGGCATGTTGTAAGAAGCCCTGGAGTAGAAAGTGAGCTGGGGGCACCTAGTTAAGTGGGACAATTTAGAATCAGACATATCCCAGTCACAGTGCAGTAAGGCAATGTACAGGTGAAACTCGAAAAATTAGAATATCGTACAAAAGTTCATTTATTTCAGTAATGCAACTTAAAAGGTGAAACTAATATATGAGATAGACTCATTACATGCAAAGCAAGATAGTTCAAGCTGTAATTTGTCATAATTGTGATGATTATGGTTTACAGCTCATGAAAACCCCAAATCCACAATCTCAGAAAATTAGAGTATTGTGAAAAGGTGCAATATTCTAGGCTCAAAGTGTCCCACTCTAATCAGCTAATTCAGCCATAACACCTGCAAAGGGTTCCTGAGCCTTTAAATGGTCTCTCAGTCTGGATCAGTAGGAATCACAATCATGGGAAAGACTGCTGGCCTGACAGTTGTGCAGAAAACCATCATAGACACCCTCCATAAGGAGGGAAAGCCTCAAAAGGTAATTGCAAAAGAAGTTGGATGTTCCCAAAGTGCTGTATCAAAGCACATTAATAGAAGGTTATGTGGAAGGGAAAAGTGTGGAAGAAAAAGGTGCACAAGCAGCAGGGATGACTGCAGCCTGGAGAGGATTGTCAGGAAAAGGCCATTCAAAAGTGTTGGGGACTTTCACAAGGAGTGGACTGAGGCTGGAGTCAGTGCATCAATAACCACCACGCACAGATGGATCCTGGACATGAGCTTCAAATGTCGTATTCCTCTTGTCAAGCCGCCCCTGAACAACAAACATCAGAAGCGTCTTAACTGGGCTATAGAAAAACAGACCTGGTCTGTTGCTCAGTGGTCCAAAGTCCTCTTTTCTGATGAGAGCAACTTTTGAATCTCATTTGAAAACCAAGGACCCAGAGTATGGAGGAAGAATGGAGAGGCACACTGCAAGATGCTTGAAGTCCAGTGTGAAGTTTCCACAGTCTGTGTTGATTTGGGGAGCCATGTCATCTGCTGGTGTTGGTCCACTGTGCTTCATTAAGTCCAGGGTCAACGCAGCCGTCTACCAGGAGATTTTCCTTCCTTCCGCAGACAAGCTTTATGGGGATGCGGACTTCATTTTCCAGCAGGACTCGTCACCTGCCCGCACTGCTAAAAGCACCAAAACCTGGTTCAATGACCGTGGGATTACTGTGCTTGATTGGCCAGCAAACTCGCCTGACCTGAACCCCATAGAGAATCTATGGGGCATTGCCTAGAGAAAAAGATGAAAGACATGAGACCGAACAATGCAGAAGAGCTGAAGGCCGCTATTGAAGCATCTTGGTCTTCCATAACACCTCAGCAGTGCCACAGGCTGATAGCTTCCATGCCACGCCGCATTGAGGCTGTAATTGTTGCAAAAGGGGCCCAAACCAAGTACTGAGTACATACGCATGCTTATACTTTTCAGAGGTCTGATATTGTTCTATGTACAATCCTTGTTTTATTGATTGCATATAATATTCTAATTTTCTGAGATTGTGGATTTGGGGTTTTCATGAGCTGTAAGCCATAATCATCACAATTATGACAAATCACGGCTTGAACTATCTTGCTTTGCATGTAATGAGTCTATCTCATATATTAGTTTCACCTTTTAAGTTGCATTACTGAAATAAATGAACTTTTGCACGATATTCAAATTTTTCGAGTTTCACCTGTATAGGCTGAAAGTAACAGGTAAGGTATAAAGTACTACAGAAAACCAGAAAGCTGGTAGCAGGTGAAGGTAAGATGGCCTTAGGTGACCATAACATAGAAGAGTGATGGCAGAAAAAATACTAAGTAGTCCTGTAGGCGGAGAGCAGGAACAGATCGAAAATAAAGTGCCATGTGGTTCTCTGCAAGCAGAAAGCATCAAGATGCTTCTGATGCTGTATGGCAGGATAAAAATAATGTATCTACTTCACCAGTGAACAGCAGCAGAGTTCAGTCCCACAGTGATAACTCCTTCCATAGCAAAAAATTACATCAAGGAATAATGGCATCCAGTTACCAATGAAAATGGAGCATCTACTGGTGCTCAGGCCAGCTTGCAGTTCAGTAAGTCTTCAGTCAGGGCACGCTCTGAGGCAATACCATCAGCAGTGAACTTGGAAAGCACCCACAGCTATTACCAAAATGGGGTCTGGAAA